GGCACAAAAGTGACTCTCCTGCCAGTGAAAATGTGGACAATGCATGTTCAGCAGGTTGCAGCTTTAAAAAAAAACAACAAAAAAAACAAACCAAGGTTGTAAGAAAACTCATAATAAGAATAACAATTTCCAGTGGCGTGGCCTGAAAACAAAAGATGATGTTGGCACTGGCCAACACCATTTTGGTTGTTTTCATTCTGTTCCTCCCAACTATAGATTGAACTTTGTTCTCTACTTGCTCTTTCTTGAAAAGAGAGGACATAGCTTTAAGTCAGCACTGATTTGGGACTGTGCCTAAGGCACCTCAGTGCTTCACCATCATTGTGTTTTTAAGCTTTTTAAAATTAAAACAGTTAATTTTGGGGATAATCATGTGGCTCTAGGGTTTTGAATGTAAAGTCACACTTTGATCCATTTTCACATCTGTTCTTAGGAGTTCTTTTGTTTACTACCTCTGTTGATAATTGAGCTTACATTCATGAATGAGGACTTTTTATATGATATGAATTTTAAGCTTTGAGAACACTAGAACTACGACAGAAATGAGAGACGGGTGGAGAAAAACTGGTTTCTTAAAAACACCTGGACACTTAGAGCAGTCTTAAACTGATATGACCCAAGAGCTCTACAGTCATTCTCTACCTTGACCCAGCTCTGGCTTCCTGTGGTCAGTAGCCTCACAAAGATTTTTGGTATTTCACTTTAATTACTCACTCGTTATTCGTTCTCAGAGAGGATAAAAGTGGCTTTTATTTTGTGTTTCCTTTTCTCTAGAGTTGTTTGTCTACCTCTGTTTCATTTCTGGAGTTCTTACTTTGGGTGGAAATCAGTAGTTATTCCTTGGACTTACTGTAAAACCCATTTACTGTTTTTTAAGTGTCTTGAGTAGATAACGTAGAAGCACAGCAGAGAAAAATAGGTCTTTGTGATTGGCACAAAGCATGGATTGGCATCATCCTTAATGTCAGGATGAGAACAGCGAGATGGTTAAAGAGTCTGAAAACCTGCTTAACCATGTGTACACTTCAGTCAGACCTTTAAAGTGAATGAAATCTACCATCTAAGGAGACCTACTTAGCCTAATATGATAGTGTTTTTTGTTGTTGCTTTTTTTGACTCAGCTCAAGTGGACATGAAAGTTCAGATGGATTTTCATTTATGATTGCATTTCTAGCTATTATAAACTAATAGCACTTGTTTATATCGTTCTAGCCTTGGGGAAGGAGAAAAGACATACATACAGATTGCCTCCTTTAAATGGTTTGCTTTGTTGTTTATTTATTTATTTATTTTTTATTATCCTAGTCACCTGCAAATTTATAAATCATTCTTACTCAAGAGTTGAAATGTTTTAAGACTGCAAATTTGGTAAAGTCTGAACAACTATACAAATATAAGGTAATATTATTACAAATTTAACTGTGATTTTTTTCCTTTTCTCTCCCCAACTCCACTTGTTTTTTCCTATATTGTTATTTTTAATGTAATTTTACTATTTTATTAAGATGCACTGAAGAGTTACCGTTTCATGAGTCAGGTAATGAGTACAATTCTTTCTGGAAATTGTCACCCTTTCCTTCACTGCCCCCCAGTCTCTCCTGCCACAGTGTCTGCTGATTGCCATGCCTGCATTTGTTCACTCCACTTGTTTTTATAGACTTTAGTATATAACCCATAAGTCTGAATTCTTTCTTCAGTGGATAATTTGTGAGCCACCTAATCTCAACCCCTTCAACCAGATCATAAAACATTAATTCTGCTCTACCAGGTTTATCTGGAAAGAAGCTTTATTTAAATGGGATAGTCAATATATTTGAGCTTACTCAGAGATATGAGTTTTAAAACTGTTATTAATTCTCTACCTGTAGAAAAGCAGCATATATATGATGGTAGGGAATAATTAGTATTAAGCTGGTAAATCTGGGGTAGTGGTTATCTTGTTTAATAGAGCTCAGTCATAAAGTCACCATGGCAAAAGAGAGTCCCTTGAGGAAGAACCATGGAACACAAAATTTCTGGAATTAATGGGTAGAGCCTTATATAAACGTAATTTGCCAAGTATAGCAATATGCTATTTTGTCTATCTTCTCAACTATTCCCAAGGCCACAGATTTTCAAAAACTAACTTATTTCACAGTTAAGGGGATGCAGCCTTTGAACATGAAACACATATCTCTGAGTAGCCTCTAATCTGTGGAGGGTTGGGACACAGCAGATTTGTCTGTTTGTACCATGATTGTTCAAGCTTAGTTTCTACAAGAGAAAGCCAACTATAAATGGGCAAGAAATGGGGCTTCTCTAAAGATTTCCTTGTACTCCCATACTTAATATAGTTTATCAAACGATCACATTTAAGAAGAATTATATTCACTACTACTAGATTCTTACATATAAGAGAATATTTGGAATTTGGAACAGACTTTGTATGCCAATCCTGGGGCTTGGACTCAGGGCCTAGGCACTGTCCCTTAGTTGCTCTACCACTTAAACCACATCTCTACTTAGAGCTTTTTACAGAGTCTCACATACTTTTTCTGCCCAAGATGGCTTTAAACCTCAATTCAGCTCTCAGTCTCCTGAGTAGCTAGGATTACAGGTGTGAGCCACCAGCAGTTGGCCTCATTTATGATGGTGATGATGATGATGATGATGATAATTGATGATTGATGATATAGTGGTACAAGAGGTTACAATTCCATAAGTCAGGTTATAAGTCAGGTTAATGTCACTCCCTCCACCATTCTCCCTCATTTCCCCCCTCCTGTCCTACCTTCAAGCTCCTTTTTATTTTTTTTAAGTATAAAATTTGAATTGTATTTACCTCCTAAAGCCACTGAAGTTAGCCTGTGTAGCAGTGGTGGCCCAATTATGGTGATGCTGAAACATTTTAAGCTTACCTTGGGGTAAAATGGCTGTATGTTAGACATACGTTTATGGACTTTTGTTTTGTTTGCACTACAGATTGAATTTAGGTTCTCACACTTGCCAAGACTGTTTTTCTGCCATTTGAGCCATTCCACCAACCCCTTTGTGTTGGTTATATTTTTGAGATTAGAGTCTCACTTGATGACCAAGTAGCCTAAACTCCAGTCCTCATGTTTATTTTGTCGTTGGGATGACAGGCATGTGCTACTACACATGCCTTAAGAATTTGATCAAGGGGCTGGGAAGGTGGCTCAGTGGTAGAGCGCTTGCCTTGCATGCATAAGGCCCTGGGTTCGATTCCTCAGGACCACATAAGCAAAAAGAAAAAAGCCGGAAGTGGCGCTGTGGCTCAAGTGGTAGAGTGCTAGCCTTGAGCTGAAGAGCTGAGGGACAGCGCCCAAGCACAGAGTTCAGGCCCCACAACCGGAACAAAAAAAAAAAAGAATTTGATCAAGTGCTCATTTCGGCAGCACATATACTAAAATTGGAATGATACAGAGATTAGCATGGCCCCTGTGCAAGGATGACATGCAAATTCATGAAGCATTCCATTTAAAAAAAAAAAAAAGAGAGAGATTGGTCAAGATGAATCTTATGAACTTTTGGGCCCAAGCTGGCCTTGAACCTGGATTGCCTATTCTCTCCCTTCCAAGTAGGTAGGATTATAGGCTTGGGCTTTCATGCTTGTTTTTTGTTTGTTTGTTTTGTTTTGTTTTTGTTGGTCCTGGGGCCTAAACCCTGGGCATAGGCACTGTCCCTCAGCTCTTCAGCTCAAGGCTAATGCTCAACTACTTCAGCCACAGTACTACTTCTGGCTTTTTCTACTTAGGTGGTGCTGAGGAATCAAACCCAGGGCCTCATATATGCAAGGCAAGCATTCTACCACTGAACCACCTTCCCAGCCCTTTTGTTTTGGAGAGAGACCACCCTCTTAAATTTATAAAAAGTATATTATAAATGCATTGCATTTATCTAGATTTCACCTATGTTTTTCCTCTACAGCCTGCCTGAGAACAGGTTTTTCACAATCCACTTTCACCTTGGATTGACAAGCTTAGAGAAAGGTCAATGGACTGTGTTACTCCTGGTCCTGAAAAGCTGGCTGCCCAACATTAGACTGTTAACAGCTATATCAGTGCACCAGGGAAACCTTTAGTTCTGACATTTTGAGTATTTTTTTGTGGGCTTTTGGTAACTACCTTACTTTCTTTTATGAACTTCATCCTTCTCATAGGAAGTGGAGTCTGAAGGGGTTAACACAGGAAATGTATTAATGGGGGCTTTTACCCTACCATTAACAATGCAGGTGGTTTCTACCATGTTCAATATAGATTTATGAGGCCAAGGAAGGGTATTTACCAACCTCTGGGAATGATGATGTTCTTGACAAGTATTTATTGAATTATGGTAGAGGCAGGCATAGAAAACCAGTTTAGAACTTGGTCTTTATATGTTTTCTAGAAGTAAAATTACTCTCATTGTGAGAGAGCATTGGACTAGAGCTTCCTAAGAACTTACCTGCTCTCTTTTACTAGTTCAATCACTAATGTGATACCTGAATACAAATTAAAAGCTCTAGGCCTCCTTAGGTCTCAGAACCATTCCCAGCTCAAACCAATACTGTCTCCAAAGGACACAGAACATCAGAAACTTTGGATGGGAAAATAGTGAAAACCTACTGGCAATTATGATTTACTTAGGCACCTATCACCAAAGACTTAAAATTAGCACATACTTTGCTCGTTTGATTGGTTTCCATAGAAGTTCTAAGAGTTATTAGTCATATAGCCTCAAAATCTGAAACACATCCTGGGTTTGAACTTGTCCTTTATATTGAGGGTGATCTGTAAGTGTGCATCGAAAGAGTTCTCTTTTATCAGTAGAAATGTCTTGCTTATAAAGAAAGCATCACTAAAAGAAATGAGGCATAAAATTTGACAGGGATCAGGTATTCCCTTTTTAATTTTGAATGTCTTTGGTCCTTGATCCACTGTAAGTGACCATGTGTTATGACCATGGTGCTATGAGACAAATAGCTTCCTGCAAAACCAAAAAGAAATGGCAATTTTTAATACTTTTTCCCTCCTTTCATTCACTTTAAATGTTTTTACTAGTGAGTTTTAATGACTTTGTATGAGAGTATGTATGTTTGGATATTTTGATTTACCCATAATTACCAATTGACTTAGAAGTGTGGTTTAAGACTTCTAAATTCAGGGGCTGGGAAGGTGGCTCAGTGGTAGAGTGCTTACCTTGCATGCCTGAGGCCCTGGGTTCGAGTCCTCAGCACCACATAAGCAAAAAGAAAAAAGCCGGAAGTGGCACTGTGGCTCAAGTGGTAGAGTGCTAGCCTTGAGCTGAAGAGCTGAGGGACAGCACCCAGGCCCAGAGTTCAGGCCCCACGACTGGACCCAAAAATAATTAATTAATTAATTAATTAATAAAAGACTTCTAAATTCAAAGCCCAGTCCAAATCTAGTTCCAGGTCCACTCACTTGAAGTATTTTCCCTACTGCTTGTCCCCAAACACATAGGTAGCCTTGTTTTTAGGGTACCATACACTTAGGTGAGGGAAGAAATTCATAGGCATTGAGATTGATTATCTTACTAGGCACTGGTGGGTCACACCTGTAATCCTAGCTACTCAGGAGGCTGAGATATGAGGATCACAGTTGAAGCTAGCCCAGGGAAAGAAAGCCCACGAATCTCTTATCTCCAGTTAACTACCAAAAAAAAACTGAAAGTGGAGCTCAAATGGTAGAGCGCTAGCCTTAAGCAAAGATGCTCAGGGACAGCATCCAGCACCTGAGTTCAAGACCCAAGACTGGCACAAAAAGAAAAAGCATCTTTTTTTTTCAATGTTTACAAAGTCAGATCTTCACAAGAACCATCAATACTAGGATTAGAGGGTTGGTGTATGGAGATGTAGGCCTAAAACTCTTCCTTTATGCTCTTTCTGAGTGGTCTATCCGAGTGTGATGACCTATTGTCATGTGAAAAAGGATAAGCAAGTTACAAATTTACCAGACAAGTCTTCAATAACAGGAGTAAAGCACAGACTAGAGCCATGGAAGGCATGACTCTGGTCATAGCTGACTTGTGAGATGGTGCTACCACTGCTGAAGGGCCAGGGGTACCTATTCTCAGGATTTGTGGAAGATCAGGCCTAATTAGGGTTTCTATGTAGTTTATTTAGTCTAATAACTGATACCTAGCCTGGCAGGATGGAAGTAATTATAGAGTGTTGAATGGATGGGGGTAGTGTTTGGGAGCAAATCAAGTCACAAAGCAGGATGATTGAGGGGGATTACAAAGTTTATGAAAAGTTAAAGCTGAGTGGTCCCTTAGCTCTCTTTGCAAGAATCTCTGGAGAAGGAAGTTTGAATGTTTCTCTTGAGATTTTAAGTACTAGTTTCTTTTTCTCTCTCCTCCTTCCTTTTTTGGTTGAGCATTCTCTGAAGACAGTTAGAGGATTGCCAGGGAGGAACTCCTGATTGTTTCCAGCACTATCCTTAGACATTTTACTAATGCTGACCCCATTGCAATTGATGCACTTTGTTTAATGTATTTTGCCTTTTTTTTTTTTTTTTTAAAAAAGCTGTTTGTCTGGAACAAAATGCAATGCTTGTTGCATTGTGCTCTTCCTGCTTGCTGGTTTTCCTCAATTTAAAAAAAAAAATGCACTGAAGACCAAGTATACTTAAGGAAAAATATGCACAAGAATACCTACTAAAATACTCATCAATTTTGATGGCATAACTTCAAAAGGTTTAAAACAAGACTAAAGAAACTTTTTGATCAATATTTGCATGTTTGCCTTTCCTTTTGGTAACTAAGTTTGTATTAAAGTTGTATATGACAGGTTTTAATTGGTTGTGAGAAAATCAAAACTGGTGTTAAGCTATGTTTAACTTTATTTATGCTGATTTGACAGAAAGGAAGGCATTTTGGCCAAAATTCCATTGGAGCTTCAAGAGAATCATCTCTGAATAGATGAGAAAGTTCCTATTTGAATAAAATTCCAGAATTCTTCCCCTCATCTTGGGTGTCTCTTCCTTTCCTTCTGAACTTAGGTACTTTTAAATTTTCATTTCAAGAGACATCATAAAAACAGAATCTTTAACAACGACCTTGTTCTTTGCATTGGGGTTTCTGCCCTGAACGCTGAAAACTTCTTGATGTCTATAGACCTGAGGGATTCATCCACACCTGGATATACAGAGAAGTGCTTTGCCCAAAGCTTCTACTTTTTAGCCCTTTGTACAATTTTTCTTCATTTGTGTCTTCATGCAACTCTATTTCCAGTAATAATATCCTGTGCTTTAAGACACATCCTTTTCTCTGGTTCTCTGTGAACATCAACTGCTAATTACTGAAAATTCTTGTACAGTTCCAATTGGATTTGAGGCAGTAATGCCACTTAGAATTTCCCCTAACCATTTATTTTCTTAACCTGATTTTCTGTATTGCCCATAATCAATATTTGTGGAGAGTTAAAATTTTATAAATTAAAATCCAGTTTAATTTAAAAACCATTTTGTTGCATGGTCTCTGTGCCAGTCACTGTGTTAGACTCAGGAATGCATTAAAAAAAACCAGCTATTGCCTTCAAGAGAGTCACTCATCTGTAGGAGAGAGGTATTATAGTTATGTAGTTTAGCAGTCCAAGAATTTGTCGTGCATACAAGAAAAGGGGAACAGTAGGAACAGCAGGGAGAAGGGAACAATGTCCATGCAGCTAAAATGCTGCAGAAAGGCACAAAGGCATGAGAGTGTATTAGAAAATTGAGGAATTGTTTTTGTTTTTACTCACAATAGGGCTTGAGCTCAGAGGGCCTGTGTGCTCTTTTGCTCAAGGCTGGCACTTGAGCCACAGTTCCACTCCCTGCTTTTTGGTGGTTAAATTGGAGATAAGAGTCTCACAGACTTTCTTGCCTAGGCTTGCTTCGAATCCATATTATCAGATTCAACCTCATGCATAACTAGGATTATAGGTCTGAGCCTGGCTGAGAGCTGTACTTTTCTTCTTTGGATAATCAGGTTAATATTCTAGTTAACCAAGAAACCTTTGGAACTATACCCTCATAATTAGAATCTCTTGGGGGCTATTTAATAAGGAAAAAAATTACCCACAGATGGTATTTATTGTTATAACAAATGTAGTTCTGTCAACTGGACTTGTACCACAGAGTACTCTGACATCATGTAGCAGGTAAGTCAGTGACTCTTAAGCATCAACAAGAGGTGTCCAGAAAAAAGGCAGAGAGTTTTCAAGGGCCCCTGGTAAAGGCATGTTGCTAGGAGTCAAACGATAAGACTCTCTCTCTCTCTCTCCCTCCCTCCCTCCCTCCCTCCCTCCCTCCCTCCCTCCCTCCCTCTCTCCCTCTCTCCCTCCCTCCCTTCCTCCCTTGCTCCTCTCCCTCTCTCCCTCCTCTCCCCGCTCTCTCCCCCCTCTCCTTCTCTTTCTCTCTCTTTCTCTCTGTCTCTCTCTCTCGTGTGAACATGGGATGCTGGAGGCTGGAGATTGAAAAATACAAGTCATTCAGCTTAAAAAACGTATCACATTATTATGTATTAAGTGAAGAAGGCCCATTGACTTTTCAGTCTAAAGTCAGGATATTTCTCATTAAAAGCAATTGAAGTGACCATTTAAATTACGTTTTTGAAGTTGAAACATTGAGAGTGTGGTATGCTGGCAAGGTACTAGGGGAAGCTGAGGCTTGAGCCTGCACTAGTTCGCAAGACCCTGTCAATATTTTTTAATATTTTAAAGTTATGGGGGAAAATACATTTGGCGCCTTGATTAATAAATTGAATTCCCTGGTTTTGGTCAGGAAACTAGAGGGACGACCAATGTCTGTTTTGGAAAAAGATGCCTGTGCGTGTCTCAGATTCTTTTCCCCAACAAAACCACTTGCTTCATAATAATCCAGTTACAGATTTTTGGACTTTCTCTGAGGGTAGTAACCAAGAGTATTTTAAATACATTCTCCAGGGAATAAGGGATTTACCTTGCAAGGGAAGATGATTTAAACAAAGACTGTTGCTGCTGCTGTCTTCGAAGCCCCGCCCCGACTCTGGCTCTCTCTTGGATCCAGCTGGGCTCACCTGGTCTACCTGCAGGTCCCGACCCACGAGCCCTCTCGCCAGAACCGGAGCCCCGCCCCTGGAGCGCACGGGCGCGGAGGCCCGCCCCCACGCCAGGCCGAACCAATCAGGAGCTGCGATCTCGGACGTCGGGTTACGCGCGGCACCGAGTGGGCCGCCGGCTGAGGTACCGGCTCCCGGCTCAGGCTCCGGACTCGAGTTCCCGGCGCGGGCTTACGGCTCGGGCTCCTGGCTCGGGCTCCCGGCCCTGGGCTCGGCGGCGCGGCCCCGGCCGCAGTGAGACGAGGCGGGGCGTCGCCGCGCCCTCCCGCCAGGCCGCTATGCAGGGGCCCGCCGGGAACGCGAGCCGCGGACTGCCAGGCGGGCCGCCTTCCACGGACGCGTCCGGGGCGGGCCGCTGCGAGAGCGGCGCGCTCATGCACAGTTTCGGCATCTTCCTGCAGGGGCTGCTCGGCGTCGTGGCCTTCAGCACGTTGATGCGTGAGTCCCGGACCCCAACCCTTCCCCAGGCCCCGCTTCCCTGGGCCCCGCTCCCTCGGCCCAGTCCCAGCCCAATCGCGCCCCGTCCCGGGACCCTCCCGCCGGAAGAGCTCCAACGGGGAGGGGAGCCCCTCGCCAGAGCTGTCTCCTTTCCATTCCCAGATAAAGGGACCCCGAGCACCGACCCCAGAGTCCTGAGCCCTCGCCCTACCACCGTAGATTCTAGTCAGAAGTGGCCCTGCCCCTTGCCACCTTCGTGTGTCTCGCCTACAATTCTCCCCTTCCCACTTCCCCATTCCAAATTAAGGTTACCACACTTTCTAGCCTGAAGTCGTGACCCTCAAAGGGAGCAGTTTTCTCCTTCAGATTTTTAGACCCGCACCTCTAAACCCCTGGTCTGATGCAGGTGCACTTCACCTCAAGAATTTGTCGTCTCATTAGCATATAAAAACCTTACACTTTTATATAAAACCCTTTTTGTGTCTTGAGTGTGCATTTCTTTTCCCAAGACCTCTACCACCCCAGTGGCCCTTTCCAGCTTTATTTTCCCTTGCTTAGTCAGGGCAAGGCCTCTACAGACTGCCTTCTTGCCCGCATCTCCTTCCTCTCGTTTCTTCCTCAACAGACCCACCTGTTCATCTCTTGACTGTCCCAAGCTTTCCTAATTGAGTGATGTCTCAAGCTTCCCCTGATGTTTCCTTTCCTAACCCACTTTTTATTATTCACACTTTCAGTTTTTCTTTTTTTCTTTTTCTTTTTTTTTCTCTTTTACAAAACTCCTTCAACCTAGGGATGAGGTCCAGAATCTCTGTGCTAAGTCACCTGGGGCACTTCCTTGAGAGTTTTGTAATAAAAGAAGAGCCAGGTGGCCCATATTATTGTCCTGTATTCTGTGGGGTGGCAGGATCATGTGTACATGATCCTGGGGGCTTATGTTGTTTTCTTTTTTTCTTTCTTTCTTTCTTTTTTTTTTTTGTCGGTCGCGGGGCTTGAACGCTGGGCATGGGCGCTGTCCCTGCGCTCTTCAGCTCAAGGTGAGCACTCTACCGCTTGAGCTACAGTGCCACTTCTGGTTTTCTAGTGGTTTATTGGAGATAAGAGTCTCACGGACTTTCCTGCCCCGACTGGCTTTGAGCCGCAATCCTCAGATCTCAGCCTTCTGAGAAGCTAGGATTACAGGCGTGAGCCACCAACACCCAGCTTTATGTTGTTTTCTTTTTGGGGGGGCAGGAGGAGGTCCGGTCGTGGGGCCTGAACTCTGGGCCTGGGCGCTGTCCCTCAGCTCTTCAGCTCAAGGCTAGCGCTCTACCACTTGAGCCACAGCGCCACTTCCGGCTTTTTACTTTTTGCTTATGTGGTGCTGAGGAATCGAACCCAGGGCCTCAGGCATGCAAGGCAAGAGCTCTACCACTGAGCCACCTTCCCAGCCCTTACGTTGTTTTCTTAAAAGTGCATATACTTCCCCCTGTGAAAGTAAGGAGAAACTTTGTGTGGCACATAGAAGTACTCCTGTGATTGTGTTTTGGGGAAGGAAAGGTTGTAACTACCAGTAAAGAGGTATTCCAAAAATGACTTGTTCCCAATATTTCCCACTGTGTTCTGTGGGCAGAACAGGGGGTTCTGGTGGATGGTCTCTGAGAGGGCTCTGCAACTGTGTGCAGATGTCTTGTAGGGTCCTATTGATGGAGTGACTCCCCTGCTTATGCTTGTTTGTGGTTTCTTTGGGTGCATTCTCTCTGGCTTCTGGTGGCCCTTGAGGGGTGTGGGACTGCTTGCTTCTGGTTGCCTGGCCTTGATAAATCCTGCAACAAGTGTACAAATGTCAGTATATGCCACTTTTTACAATCCTTTTTAGTCCCAATTTGCTTTGTTATATTCTTACTTGTTCCCATAATAATAATTGATGATAACTATGCCAAAATCAGTTGTCAACTTGGGTGCATGGACCGAATGTCTATGTTTTCAAGACGTTGTGAATTTGGCCTCCATCTCATCCCACTTCTTCCTTCCCACTTCCCCCTCCCACTTCTCTGCCTTCCAGCCACTGTTCTTTACTCTCAACAAAATCTAGGTTTCATTTTTATTTTGTTCTCTAACCTGAGATTTTAGAGCCTGGCTCTGGGCATTTTCATGAGTATGATTGGTGGTGATAGCCCACAAATCCCCTAGGGGTTGGCACTTATCATTCAGAGAGTTAAGTGTGAGTATAACAGAACAGAGTTGCTCCCAGCTGGGAAGTATGCTGGATTGAATGTGTTCAGAGTGGTTATGCTGGCCTGTGAGTCATCAGGGACACTCTTACCTCTTTACTCCAGTATGAGAACAGGTGCAAATCCCACTCCAGCTGATATTTTCTGTGTGCAAAGAAAGACTGGATAAGAAAGTAGCTTACTAAGTGAAAGACTTGATGGAGAAGGGGTTTGTGACAGTAGCACTAGGTTACGGGGAGGAGCTCTTGGAAGGCCAGAGCTGGGATTGTCCTAGACACAGAAAAGAGATGAGAGCAAGAGCTTCATCCCTCTCCCTAGAAGTAGACAGCAAGGTCAAGGTGATGGAACTATGGAACTGCATGAGAAGATCCTAGTAGCTAGAACCAAAGAAGTGCCTTTCTTAGGACTCAGGTTCTTTGGTCTTGTTGACAAAACCAGGGGTCTTTTCCTTTTTGAACTAGTGGGAAGAGGAGGAAACTAAAGGAGCTCTGGAATTGACTTTGCTAGAAAACAGAAAAGGGAATGAGAGGGTCAGCTTCTGCCTGCAGTTGGATTTTGTCTTTTTTTTTTGTCGGTCGTGGGGCTTGCACTCTGAGCCTGGGCACTGCCCTTAGCTCTTCAGCTCAAGGCTACCACTCTACCACTTGAGCCACAGGGCCACTTCTGGCTTTTTCTGCTTATATAGTGCTGAGGAATCAAACCCAGGGCCTCATGCATGCAAGGCAAGCGCTCTACCACTAAGCCACCTTCCCAGCCCTGGATTTTGTCTTTCATGGAGCCTACTTGTCATTGGTGACAGAGCTACAGTGTAGTACCTGGGCTCCCAGACCACAGTGTAGTACCTGGCAGCTCTTGGAAGGAAGACTTGGTTTGTTCAAATGAGGCTCCTTTCTCCATCATTCCCATTGTAATCTTCGTCTGCTCCTTTTTTTTTTTGGTCGTGGGGCTTGGAACTCTGGGCCTGGGCACTTTCCCTCACCTCTTCAGCTCAAGGCAAGCACCCTACCTCTTGAGCCACAGCACCACTTCTGGTTTTCTAGTGGTTTATTGGAGATAAGAGTCTCACAGACTTTCCTGCTTGGGCTGGCTTTGAACCATGATCCTCAGGTCTCAGCCTCCTGAGTAGCTAGGATTACAGGCGTGAGCCACCAGCCCAGCTGTCTGCTCCATTTTAAATACCAGACTGTTCTGAGCAATTGGAACTAACAATCCCTAACCTCTTTGAGATTACAGTCTTTCCCCTTTCCATTACTTTTGTTCTCTATGGCAGTGGACTCAGTGTCTCACTCTTGGGTGCTTCCTCAGTTCTGATGACCAGGACTGTTTGGTTTTCCTTCTGAGCCAGCTCTCTAACACAGTAGACCACTTCTCTGCCAAATATAAGATCATTTTTTTTCTCATCTCACATCCCTCATTTCAGTGACTACTCAGTCCACCACATATGCTTCACTACTTACCAGTTGCTGTGATTTTTTTTTTTAATGTGGGGGAAGGGTTTGTTCTGGAGGAAGTTTTCTCAATTATCTTAATTTCCTAGGGACGATTTGGGTTCTCAGGATTTCTCACCGTGTTGCTCTAATAGAATTCTTGCCTTATGTGGAATATTTGGAGACTGACTCATTCCAAACAGATGAGAGTACATAGGCTGGTCCTGTAGGTATGAACATTTAGATTTTGCCATGTTACAACTTGTCCAGTGTCAGCACGTTAAAGGAACTGGTGAAACTCCAAGGAAGAGAAGACCCTTGGATACTGAAGTTGTAATGTTCCTAAAAAGACTTTGAGGACACAGAGACTGAGAAAGTTTATTAGCAAAGGAAAGGAAAAATAGCAAAATAGTACATGACCCACACATAATTATGGGCATGTCTGATAACAAGTGCAAATTAAATTTTGGGTCTTTATGTTGTAGAAGTTTAACCATCTTTTAAGGTTGAGTTTTGCTAGATTTTCAAGTGCCCATTCTTAAGATAAATATTTTTCTTTGCAAATGATTTTGTGCTCAGGAGGGTCATTTTTCCAAAGGTTTATTCCCAGGATAAATATCTTTTAAGATAATCCTTGCTCAGTTCTGAGAGCCCACTAATTATTTGGGCAAGTGGGCAAGGTCAGAAGGAGGCAGCTGCTCTTTCTCCTTCTCCCTCCCAATTTTTACTAAATATTTTAGCTTGTAGAGGGAGTGTAAAGCTTAAAGCAAATAGTGCCTGTATGCTTTTAATCAAGCTATTTATTTATTTATTTTTGGACAGTCCTGGGACTTGAACTTATGCCTGGGCTCTGTCCCTGATCTGCTTTTGCTCAAGGCTTGCACTCTACCACTTGAGCTAGCGTTTATGTGGTACTGAGGAATCAAACCCAGGACTTCATGCATGCTAGGCAAACATTCTACCAGTAAGCCACTTTCCCAGCCTCAAGCTATTTATTAATGCTTTTGTTCCTGAATTTCTGGCTTCTTTTCCATGCATTTTCTCTGATCTATCCTGCCTCAAAGTCGCTTCAGACTGGAGTCACAGCAGACCAGACCTGAGCAGTCTTGGAGCTCAGCGCGCTGTTCCAGTTCAGAAAAGTCACCCAGCTGTCAGCCAAAGGTCAGCATTGGCCCACATGTGTGTGTTGGCATTTGAGGGTGTTTACTCTCAGTACTTACTGAGTGCAAAGTAAATTCAAGCCTCCTTCACTATGTAGAGTTAGGGTTCTGGGCTGAAATGTGGACAGAATTTAACAAAAAGGCCTCTCATATAGCTGGGCATATAGGTATGCACTATCATGCTTGGCCTCATCTTTGCTAGC